GTGTCAGTGTTACAGTGCATGTAATAATAAATTTTTTTAAAAGCTTATATTAACAGTCTGTATTTTGAACATCTCTATTGAAATGTCTCATCCATTATTTGCATGCATTTATTGCTTGAAGACATTCATTTTTGTTTAGTTCAAGCAATGCTTATTACTTATTTTTACCAGGGACTTCTTCCCATTAACAGAGGACAAACATGATTAAGATGTTGTCCTTCCCTTAGGAGCTTATGATTAAGACCAAAAAGTCCCAAAAATGAGGAGTCCAGAAAGTGATGTCAACACATACGATAAAGTGTTCTCTACTTTTCTATTTCTCTTTGATTCAAGGGGAGTTTATGTCACCCCAAATCCAGTCCCCAATGTGGGTCTGTGAAATGGATTTTAGTTAATAAACATAAATATCTTAATAGTGGAGAAGTTTTTATTTGAATCTTGTTTTTTAGACAGTGACTTTCATCTCTCAGGAAGTCTTATGTTTGATTTTTCCATAAATGACAACAAGAAACCACAAGTAAGGGCCATTTTTTCCCTCTGTTTTCTAGCTTAACTAATAAAGAGAATTCATTTTGAACTGTGAAGTGGAATATACCTTGTTGGGAAATTGTTTCAGAGTCCTGTTGAATGTTTAAAGATGTGCTGGCAGTTGGAGTTTCCATAATGTAATCTAACCAGTCATTTCCTGGGATGGTTCCAAACTTGCTGAGTCATCAATTTCATATACCAGGTTAAAAAACAAATTCAGTCTCTAGAAAAGCAAGATGCATTGCCTCTGTACGTAGGTGTTCAGTGCATACAGTTTTAACTTTGGCAGTCATTTCAAATGAAATATTGTTAGCATGAGGATGTTACAGACACTTCAGGAAACCAGTCTTTTAAAAAAAGTTTAATCTGTATAATCTTTATTTAATATCTAATCCCGCCTTTAAATTCAGCTTTCATCATTTTTTTGTTCTCATATTCTCTCTCATCTATGATGTGATACCTCTTACAATGAGAACAAGAGATCTTTATACTTTTCATCATCTATAACTTGCCAAATCCAATCATTTACATCAGTCCATCGCAATACCATATTGTACAGTGATGTCAGTTCTCACAAAAGTTCCACACCTGTAATGTGATCCAAACTCCTCCACTCAGGGA